AATAAAAATGCACAGAAGTCCTTTATCTCTTACCACTGAGAAGTAACCGGCTCCTAGTTGGTTAGGGGCAATGGTGGGATTCAGATAATTTAACAACCAGTTCTCTGCCCTAATGACCAGCTGGGTAGGCGTGGCTGGGTGGTCATGTGACGGGGTGGGCGTGGCCACCTCGACATCACTCACATCGAGGTGTACCTCATCTCACCCAGCCTCTCCTCTCCTCACCATGCCCAACCCTGCCTCATCCCTCCGCTCCCAGTCACTTCTTGTCACACCCAGGTACTCGCCTTGCCATCCAGCCGGGTGAGCGGTTGGGTGGGCAGGTGAGCAGGTGGGCGGTGAGTTGAGGAGTGGCTTGGAGGGGAGGGGAGAGGTGTGGCAAGGCACGCAATTAAGCTGGTTCACCGAACTGCACAAAAAGTTAGCTACCAGTTTTACCGAACCTGTGCGAACCGGCTGAATCCCGGCTGAATGGGACACGAGCAGAAGGAGATGTGGGAAGTGAAATCTGGGACTGTTACCTCTAAGGTTTACAGTGTGCAATTTTCTGTTTCTAATTAGGGCTTTTCCAGCATCTGTAATCAACTAGCTTACGGAAGTACCATCCCTTTGAATCTTTGCCACCTCTGAGTTTTAAATAAGAGGCTGGATGTTGCTTGTCTCAAGAGCCTTCTGACTTAACTGCCAGTTACTGCATGAATAGAACTAAAGATCTGAATTGCTGTCACATGTTTTCTATCTTCTATCAGAGTCCTTCTTGAGTTGTTCTGGCCAATCTGCTCTTCCAGTATCAAAATTTGTGAGAGGCAGTGAAATGCCCACTGGGTGCAAACAAGTATTTGCCTTCTTCACTTACTTCTGTCTGTAGACCAAAGGTAATGGCTCAGTGGATGTAAGTACTCTAATACTTGTGCTCTCCTTAGATTCAGCTCATCTGGTGACTGTATTTGCATCTCTATGTAGTTTATTTGGGACGATACATAGGAGTTTCCCAGGAGTTTTGGAGAGTTTTCAACTAAGCTATTACATTTTTTAATAATTTTGTATCGGTGGAGGGAATCAGCCAAAATTGATTAGGGAGAGTTATTTGCTAATAAGGCTTGAACAGGAGCTAGGCAGAACAAGGAGAACATCTACTAATAACAGGCCTTCGTTCTAGATCTGAGGAACCAAAAGTTCTTCCCTCTAAAACAGCGGTCACCAACTGGGGGTCCGTGAGAAAATTTTGGTGGTCTGCAGAAAAATTATTTGCATTTTTTATATTGCACTAAATCAGGGGTCCTCAAACTACGGCCCCTGGGACGGATACGTGCAATGAATGTTTGTGTTGCTGCAGAGAGTATCTGTGTGTTTTGCTAAGCAACGTATCTATTCGCTGTCTGGTCCGTTGCACTACGTTGCAGAGGGCAGTTTTACCCTCAACACTAAGCTTCTTTAGATGAGAAGTGAAACGTTTTCAAGGAATAAAACCAAGAAAATCCAGTTGCCTTTTGGGAAAAAAAGTTCCTTTGGGACAACCATGTCCTGGATGATTGAGAATCTCCATAGAAGATTCTTCATGCCACTCTTACTTCAACCTTCTCCCAAGTCACCTATGAACGGGCTGGACTACAACTCCCAGAATAATGTTATCCTGCTAGCTGGGATTGGTGCTCGCCATAGCCTAACACCTCTAACTTGGGGACGGCTCATTGAGGGAACATGATGAATTTAATCGCATGTCAGCGGTTGAAAAGGAAAGCAAGCCATACTCTGCAAAACATATGCTGGGTTCCTGATGAGATATTGATTGATGTTGACTTGTGTAGGATTTTTTTCCCCCCTCTCTCAAAAGGCAAGAGAATAAAGTGATTAATCTTTCTCAGTTCTTCCCCTGCCCCCCCAAAAGTGACTCATGGCTCATTCCAGGAGGCCCACATTTTGCTCTCACCAGCAACTTGTTCCAGCAAGCATGAAGATGTTCTTGGAAGTTGGTGGCCAAGAAATGAGAAAGAACTTGGCTTCTTCAGCATTCTGCATCTGTGTCTCTTGACCTTGCTCTCCAGCCTACTCCTCTTAAATATGAATAGAATAGAATAACAGAGTTGGAAGGGATTTTGGAGGTCTTCTAGTCCAACCCCCTGCTTAAGCAGGAAACCCTACACCACTTCAGACAAAGGGTTATCCAACATCTTGTTAAAAACTTCCAGTGTTGGGGCATTCACAACTTCTGCCGGCAAGTTGTTCCACTGATGAATTGTTCAATTGTGTTGGCTTTTTTGGCAACTGCAGCACACGGCTGGCTCATATTTAATTAGTGATTGTCCACTAGGACTCCAAGATATGGTATTAGTATTCATGGAAACATCTCCTTTGGATCTGGGGAAGGATGGGGATTTGGCATGGGAAGTCTTGAGCAGGTTTCCTTTTGGGAGGTTCTTCCACCTGCCATCCATTCACACTTTCCCCCTAACAGTTACTTTAAAATGAAAGCCCCCCCCCCGCTCTATGGTTATTGACCCTGACTTGCCAAGAGGCTGTGCAAAGCCTTCTCGGGTACTTTTCCAGTTCTACCTGGAGATGTCTACCTGGATGGAATTAATCTGCAAACCTTCCGTCCTAAAGGTGAAGGGAAAGGTTCCCCTCACTCATATGTCCTAGTTGTTCCTGACTCTAAGGGGCGGTGCTCATCTCCGTTTCAAAGCCGAAGAGCCAGCGCTGTCCGAAGACGTCTCTGTGGTCATGTGGCCGGCATGAATAAATGCCAAAGGCGCACGGAACGCTGTTCCCTCCCACCAAAGGTGGTCCCTGTTATTCTACTTGCATTTTTTACATGCTTTTGAACTGCTAGGTTGGCAGAAGCTGGGACAAGTCACGGGAGTTCACCCCATTACTCGGCACTAGGGATTCGAACCGCTGAACTGCCGACCTTTTGATCGACAAGCTCAGTGTCTTAGCCGCTGAGCCACCGCGTCCCTACCTTCTGTCCTACAGCTTTCTATTAGCATCTTGAAAAGATCCCAGGATTCCTTACAGGATTCAAAGAACCCAACCCACTTGAGCAGCAATGAAAGTTTGAGATTGAAGTTCTGTAATTTACAAGACTGGGTTATTTTTTTTAATATCTGGTTTCTCCAGGTAAGAAGTTCTGAACCTGAATGAATCCACAAGCTAGGCTTTGTTATTCTTTGCTCTTTTTTTTTTTTAAAGAATGGACACCTTAATATAAATTCATTTATTCAGTGCATGGTTGTATACAACAAATAATAAACATCTCCTTTGTACAAAGCGACCGGAAACAGCTCATCCTGGCCCCAGATCTGCTTTGTACACGTTATCTTTGACAGAGAGCAATGCACAAAATCTTAAACAGTTCATGCAACTTCTGAAGCCGGTCTCCAACTTCCCTCTCATGCAAGAGATATGATGAACTAAACAGAAACTTAACTTTCTCTCTCTCCCTCCCTCCCTGGTTGCATTACTTCTGTTTCTTTAAAAAAACAAAAACAAAATCCAACAACAACAGAGAAGGAAAATACAATGCCAGCCTCTTGCAAATAGAAAATAAGGATTCAAGAAGGGGAATCCTTGGTGCTCTCGAAGATTTTCTTGCAAATGTTCCATAACCCAACTATCATCATCATCTTCATTGATGTTGGATAATGGAGCTGGATCTGGCCTGATGATGTTACCTAGTTGGGTCATGAAAGGTCTACAAGAAAGCTCAGTGAGCACCAAGGACCCTACGGTTCAAGCCTGAACTACAAATATTCCTATCTATTGGATTCAGAAAGGTTCCCATGCGGTGACCGATCCTTGAACTTTTTCTTCTTCCACCAAGATCTACCCAATTTCCAGCCAGATTTTGGGGAACACCCCCCCCATCCTTTCCTGTCTTAACAGCTTCTCCTCTCTCAAGGCAAGACCAGGAGAGATTAACCATCATCTCCCTTCCTTCAATCCCAGTCACTTCAACAGGCTGGATTGCAATTCCTTTCCGCGTTAAGACTTTTTTCCCCCAACTTATCCGTGGATAACCTTCAACTCTCTCCACCCCAAATTTTCAGGGAAGCAAAAAAAAAAAGGAAAGATGTTTACAAATAAGATGTCATGATTTTCCCTTTTATAAAAACGGAGTTAAGTCACTTTAGTTCCACAGTTTCTGTCTTTAGAAAAATGAAGGTACGTTCCACAGGTTTTGCGTTCGTTTTTGTGGGTTTTTTTAAATATGATGCACAAAATTAAGGATAAAAAAAAAAAAAAAAAAAGAAGAAAGAAAAAAAGAAAAAAAAGAAAGAAAAGAAAAAAGGACATCTACATTGTGGGAAGAACTCGATTCAGCCTGTTTTTTTAAAAATAATTATTTTCCACAGACGGGGAAATTAACACACACCTCGGTTCCTACAGACTGGGGGATTAGCATGAGGGCTTGGAAAGGATGACTACAAATCTATAAAAAAACAGTATATATCTCAGTGTGTGTTAAAATCACAAGAACACTTTTTGTTTTGTTTCGTTTGCTGGAGCCTGAGATTTACTGCGATCCGGCTCCAAAACCTGATTTATTGATTATTTTTTTCCCTCAAGATTACACTAGCATATTAGCAGGATTTTGCTTTGCTTGTAAAGACACAGCTCAAAACCCCTTCCAGAGAAGAGAGACCCCCCCCCCAAAAATTAAAAATAAAATAAACCCAAAGAAAAATAAAGAAAAAAAAGAGAGATATATTCAGATTTCTTTTCCTGACCAAGCTTTATGATATATAAAATGGTAAACTAAAAACAAAAAAAAACAAAAAAACAGAGGGCATATGGAGTCCTCCTTCCCTCTCTGAACCATTGATATATAAAACATTAAATATTGAAATTTCCCTCAAAGAGCAAAGGAAAAATGAAAGAAGGAAGGAAGGAAGGAAGAAAGAAAGAAAGAAAGAAAGAAAGAAAGAAAGAAAGAAAGAAAGAAAAAAAATATTTGACAGGATTTCTGTCTCGGTTAGAAAGCCAAAATGTGTTTTTAAATATTGTGGGATTTTTTTAATTTATTTTTTTGTCCCCCCCCCCAAAAGAGGGTAGGTGAAGATAAGAAGTAAAAGCAAACTCAATGCGAGATCATTGCTTCATATTTGTCTGGCTAGGCCCGTGTTTGCGTTTTACATCACTGAGGGGGGAATCTTTCCTTCAACACGAATCATTGACGGTGATTTGGGGACCTCCGGAAAGTCCAAAAGTAGCTGATCAAAGGCCAAGAGACTTTATCCCAGTTTGTTGGCTTGTCGGGAAGGGCTGAATGGTAGGTGTGTTTGTTTGTTTGTTGGTTTTTGCAAAAATAAGGACTCCACAGCAGATCTAGAGGTAAAAAAAAGTCCCCAAGCGATGCTTCTTCTCTCCTCTAGCTTCTCCGTCCTGGCTACGTCGATTCGTTATGGCTCATAGATTTGCCGCCATTCAACGCTCCCGAAACGCTTCTGCTTTTCGTCGGGGTTCCACTGCCAGACCGTGAGAATTCGGTAAGGTCATGGAGGGAGGGTTCTTTGTACATGGCCACTGGGTGGAAGGAGGAGAAAGGAAAGTCAGAGAAGAATCACAGACGGGGTCTCCTGCTTAAGCAGAGGGTTGGGCTCGAAGACCTCCACGATCCCTTCCACTCTTGTTATTCTATTTATTATTCTATTCTATTCTATTCTATTCTATTATTCTATTCTATTCTATTCTATTCTATTCTATTCTATTCATTATTTCATTCCATCTTTTCTTCTTTTCTTTTCTTTTCTTTTCTTTCCTTTCCTTCTTTTCTCTTTTCTATTCCATTCCATATTTTCTATTCTATTCTATTCTCTATTCTATTCTATTCTATTCTATTCTATTCTATTCTATTCTCTATTCTCTATTCTCTATTTATTCCAATCTCTCTTCTCTTGTCTTGTCTTGTCTTGTCTTGTCTTCGCCTCTATTTATTCTATTCTATTCTATTCTATTCTATTCTATTCTATTCTATTCATTTCATTCCATCTTTTCTTCTTCTTTTCCTTTCTTTTCTTTTCTTTTCTTTTCTTTTCTTTTCTTTTCTTTTCTTTTCTATTCCATTCCATATTTTTATTCTATTCTATTCTATTCTATTCTATTCTATTCTATTCTATTCTATTCTATTCTATTCTATCTATTCTATTCTATTCTATTCTATTCTATTCTCATTTATTCCTCTCTTCTTCTCTCTCTTCTCTTTCTTCTCTTCTCTTCTCTTCTCTTCTTTCTTTCTCTTTCTTCTCTTTCTCTCTGTCTTGTCTTGTCTTGTCTTCGCTTCTATTCTATTCTATTCTATTCTATTCTATTCTATTCTATTCTATTCTATTCTATTCTATTCTATTCTATTCTATTCTATTCTATTCCACTCCACTCCATTCCATTCCATTCCACTCCACTCCATTCCATTCCATTCCACTCCATCTATTCTATGCTATGCTATGCTATGCTATGCTATGCTATGCTATGGCTATGCTATGCTATGCTATGCTATGCTATGCTATGCTATGCTATGCACACACACACAGAGAGCAAAAGATAAACAAGATTCAATGGAGCAGAAGATAAAGGCCAAGCCTCCAATAAACTCCCAAAGCCCCTCTTAGAGAAATGCAAAAAGGATTCTCAAGCACCCCGAGATCAGGGGTCGTATTCACTTACTTTCCCTACTGGTTCGCAAATGTGAGCGTACATGCGCTTTGCTCACGGAGTGCCTTCCGTGCATGCACCCGGTCTCAAAAATGTGCCTAAATAGGACAGCATAGAGCTGGGGTGGGGGTGGGGGTGGGTGGATGGGCCCACCTCCGATTTCCGCTACCAGTTCGTGTGAACCGATCCGAACCGGCTGAATACCACCTCTGCCCGAGATCAAAACAGCAGGAGGGAAAACAAACAAATTGTATTCAAAATTCTCTGCGAATAGCCGTGTAACATCGAAAGGGTGTTACCTTTTAGCGGTTTGGGAAGGAAGTGTGCCGCGGGCTTGTTTTTCTTCACGTGGTTTCCTTTCATGACTTCGCCTTCTTTGTTGAGACCTAAGTACCAACCTCTTCCCGATTGCATCTGCCGGTAGATCATGGAAGAATACGTGACGTAATAATTTTCAAAAACGGATTCTTTGAACTTGCATTCCGGTGTGAAGTGCTCCTGCAGGGAGAGGGTGGGGGACGGGAGCGGGGTGTCGGGGGTGGGAGAGGGAGGAGGAGGAAAGGAAAGAAATGAAAAGAAAAAAAAAGAGATCAATATTTGCACAAAGTCCCATCTGTTAATGCAGAAATGATTCGATCTTTTGCTGGCCTCAGCCTCCGCCCCTCCCTGTTCTTGCTCTGCTTTCCTTTCTCCATAATGTAGTTTGGGAGCAGATGGGCCCGTTGCATCTCCAGGCCATCACAACATCTAAAGTGAAGAAATATCGATCGGCAGGAGAATTTTGCTACTCCATCACGATTGGCAGTCGGGCACGGAGATGGGTGGTGGTGGGGAAAGGCGTTTCGTAGGGAGGTGGGGGAGGGAGAAATTAAGATCAAAGGATGGATGTCAAAAGCAAATGCTCTTTTTACCAAGTGGCTGATGTTAACGCAACATTTACCAGCCACCTCATTACGTTGCTATTATTTATTTATCATCTTTTATCGGACCGGCTGCAGACCAGGGTGCTTTGGAAAGCTCGCGAAGCTGACCGGGAGCCAACCTCAAATGAACCGTGATTGTTTGGCACCATGGACAGGGGTGAAATGCTCCCGGTTCGGACTGGATCGTCCGGTCCGAGAGAAACCTCTTGTGGAATTGAAGACTTAGTGTCCTCATCCTCGTTGTGTGGTGATGGCAGAAGGGGTAGAATTAGATGGTCCATCAGAGCAAGCAAGTCGATTGGCTGTCTTATCTATTTGGAAGCTTGGTTTTGGAGATCTGGATTGCAAAAATCCAAATAGACAGGCTAGATGGCCATAATACCACTTCTTCCTTCATTTATTTATTTTCTTCCACCATAAAAACAACCCTACTCTATGTGGACTCTAACTTTAACTGCTCTCCAAATTGCTCAGTGAACTTTTGTGATAGTATTGGACATTGATCTGGGAGTCCTTGAACCTAGTCTAGGGGTCGGCAACTTTAAACACTCAAAGGGCCACAAAGGTCTTAACCCAAAGCCCTCGTTCAATTCTGGAGCCAACCGGAAGACCGATTCCCCCACCATAGAGTCTCCTCCTAGCGCGGAATCCTTTTTCCTCTACCTGTCCTCACCGAAAGTCCTGTCAATTGTGGAGCCAATCAGCAACAGGGAGCCACAGCAGAGGGATGAAAGAGCCACATGCGGCTCCAGAGCCGCAGGCTGCTGACCCTTGACCTAGTCCAACAGCCTAACTATATTCCACAAACATTTTAATTTGATAACATTTTAGATCCAGGGGAAAAATCACGTTGGTATTACAGGTTCAGATTCCGATCGGCCAGTCACAGAATTGGTTTCCAGCAATACGGAATGTTGACTGGGAGTGGTGCGGTGGCCTAGAGGTGGAGCTCTCACCTCACAATCAGGAGGCTGTGAGTTCGATCCTAGGTAGAGGCAGATATTTCTCTCTCTGGGCACAGCGAGAATATTATCTGCTGAACAAAACTCCACATTGGCGACAGGAAGAGCATCCGGCCAGTAAACACTCTGCTAGCTCCATTCAGTAGCCCAGACTCCACCCCGCAAGGGATTATGGGGTCGTTAAAAGAAGATGACGAATACGGAATATTGACTAGTCAGATGGATTCTGACTTGGGATTTATATGTGCACAGTGTGTCGTGGATGTCCATCTATTTCAAATGCTTGCAGGTAAGTATTTCTTTAAGACACAGCATAAGGAGGCGACGACGGTATTCTTCGAGTCGCAAAAAAACAACAACAACAGAAAAACCACGCACTGAAGTAAACTGGTGGGAAGGAGATGGGACACCATGGAGCTCATCATCCAATTAAGAGCACTAAAAGAGAAGCCTGGAGCGTGTGGAGAAGGTGATTATAGCTTCAGTACAGTAATTTGCTGTGTTTGGGGACTACACAACTTGCTGCATTCAAAGATGGATGTTCAAATTAGGAGCTGAGCCACTCTGCTGTCACCGAGCCAATTTCTTTCCGAGGGCAACAATCTCAGCCCAAAGAACCGTTTCTGTAGACCGTGGCATCCTTCTGAGTTTCATTCACGCCCAGAAGCCAAAGGCTTGAATGCAAAACTACCCGAGGACATAGACAATCTTGACCACTTGGACTGGACGTCCAGAGGAACTTTGGAGGAACGGACCTGATGAGCTATCATCTGGTAGATGTCAGGGTTCCAAGTAACACCCCCAACGAAATCAAATTCCGAGGCTTGAAGTTCCTCAAAGCTCACTTGTCAGCGCTCCAAACTATGATTTCCCCAGCGCTGACATGAATGAGTGGGAAAGAGCCTGTTAGAAGTAGTAGCTTGACTTTTTCACCCAGTTCTTTCCCCCGGCAGATAACGTCACCTAGGTGATGGGAGGAGGGGGAAATTCCTGTGACTTGAAGTAACTGAGATGAAAGATGGACTTGGAAGATGGCCAATGAGACACTGAGATTTGAAGAATGGAAAGGGAGGGGTTTGGGATCAGAGGATCAGTTTCGGCTGCAAATGAGTTCAGGACTAGATCGTTATTCTTCAATAAATAAGAGATTTCATCAAAGACTTTGTGTTTGAGAATGAAATTTATTTGAGATAACATCGGAACCTGACATCACTTTTATTAGAGATGTCATATTGGCACATCTGGGAAAACCCGAATCTGAGAGCTTCCGGGTTTTCCTCACCCAAAAGAAAGTTCAAGTCCTTGCCCTTCACCCATATGTCCATCACATGAACCAATCAGGTACCCTCCAGAGCAGAAGATACCTCCTCATTCTTCTCAGCACACCTGCAGGGCACAATGGCCTTGACTTTCTAGAAAGAATGTTATTTTGACTACATATCCTCTTCACAGTCGAATTGGTGGCAGGCCTGAAGCCTGAAGTTTCAAAGATATAAAGATGGCTTCCAGGTCTGACAGTAGAACAGCTTGCCACACAAAGAGGTGCTTTCTTCTCAGTTGGGGATCGGCAGTCAGAGACACTGGATGGTCATCCCTCAGAAGTCTTCTACTGAGCCTGGTATTGAGCTGGAAGTTATACAAGATGAGCTCCAAGAATATTTATGAGAAGAAAGGGAAGAGAGGTCAAAGGTAATGGCCTTGATATTGGATACCTTTGAAAAATAAGGCCACTGATAATTAAATCTTCAAAAGCAACCGAGATGATGAGGGGACTGGAGGCTAAAATATACGATGAACGGTTGCAGGAACTGAGCATGGCTAGTCTAGTGAAGAGAAGGACCAGGGGAGACAGGATAGCAGTCTTCCAAAATTTGAAGGGCTGCCACAGAGAGGAAGAAGAGGGTCAAGCTATTTTCCAAAGCACCTGAAGGCCAGAGAAGGAATAATGGATGGAAACTGATCAAGGAGAGATTCAACCTGGAAATAAGGAGGAATTTCCTGACAGTGAGAACCATCAACCCATGGAAGAGAAGTTGCCTTCAGAAGTTGTGGGAGCTTCATCAATGGAAACTTTCAAGAAGAGATTGGATTGCTATCTGTCAGAAATGGTATAGGGCAGTGATGGCTAACCTTTTTTTGCCGTTGTGTGCCAAAAGCAGGGGGAGTGCGGGCAGGTCATGCCCTCCCCTTGCTTTTGGCACGCGATGGCATGGTGGGCATGTTAGGCTTGTTTTTCGCCTTCCCCAGGCTCGAGATGCTTTCTTGAAGCCTGAGGAAGGCGAAAATGGCCTTCTGGAAGCCGGAAACGGTCCATTTCCTGACTTTTGGTGGGACTGGAAGGCCCGTTTTTCACCCTCCCCAGGTTCCAGAGGCTTTCTAGGAGCCTGGGGAGGGTATAAATGGCCTTCCCCACCCCCTGGAAGCTGGAAATGGCCCATTTCCCAACTTCCAGTAGGCCCGGAAGGCCTGAAAATCAGCTGGCCAGCACGTTCATATGTGCTGGAGCTGAGCTAGGGCAATGCTCGCATGCCTACAGATATGGCTCTGTGTGCCACCTGTGGCACGCGTGTCATAGGTTTGCCATCGCGGGTATAGGGTCTCCTGCTTGGGCAGGGGGTTGGACTAGATGACCTCCAAGGTCCCTTCCGACTCTGTTAATCTGTAAAAAAAAAAGGAGGTAAGTCACCGTGGCTTGCGAATTTTCAAAGGAGGCTAATCCGAATCGGGGAAGATCACCCTCATCCCAGCCTGTGAAAATCACCTTAAAAAACACCGATTTCCCCAAATTCATTTGCACTTGTTCAAGAAGACGTGGTTCTTTCTCCAACCTCTTTGGAAAAACCCAACGTGGCTCAGTCTGTTGCACAGTTCACGTGGCTTATTAAGCCAGGCTCCTGGCTCTTTATTCATCAGAAAATCAGACAAGAGCTTTAATTTAAAACGTCACAACATTTGAGTAACGCTTTTGACAGAACGGATAACAAAGCTGCGAGGTTAATGAGGAATTGGTTAATTTCCTACGGCAACAAAGCCGCCACATGATCCATTCTCTCTCCCCCCCCCCAAAGTGATCAATCCCAAATTAAATCAAGTGTGGGTGATAAGCTCACACCAAGAAGTGAAATTGTCAGTCAAGAAAAATGAACAATGGAAGAGGCAACACAAACAGAAAGTGAAGATGTGACAATACGTACGCAGCAATCCGTCAGAGGGAAAAAAACAACCAGTTTAAACCAGGGGTGAAATGCTCCCGGTTCGGACCGGATCACCCGATCCGGTAGCGATGGAAGCGGGTGGTTCGGAGAACCGGTAGCAAAAGTCCCTGCCCCTTCCCCATGTCCAGCTGAGCCGCACAATCATCAGAGGCTTTTTTTTAAAAAAAAAAATTAAAAGCATTTTTTCTACAACCTCTTTGGCTGAAAAAATGTTTTTAAAAGGAAAAAAAAAAAAGCCTCTGCCGATCAGGCAAGTCAGCTGGGATCGTCAGAGGCTTTTAAAAGCATTTTTTTTACAACCAAGAGTTTGTAGAAAAAATGGTTTTAAAAGTAAAAAAAAAAGAAAAAAAGTTGGCCACGCCCACTTAGTCATATAACCCCTCAACAAGCCACACCCA